TTCCCACTCTTTCTCTTCCCATCATGGCCGTGCGGAATTTCCATAAAGGAGAACCGCACGTACCTTGCTTACACTGTGCGCACCTCGGCGAACAATTGCGACAGGGGGTTGTTTGCACGAAGCTATCCTGAGTCAGAAGCACGAACGTTGAGTCACCGTCAACGATCGATATTGTCTATATATATATATACATATACATACTCGTGCACATTGTAGCAGGGCGACTGTCGCGCGCGCGGTTTCTATTTCTCCACGGACGGTACTCACCAGCCAGTCGATTGCGGTTAATAGCGATTATTTCCGACAAACGGAACGTTCGCCTTGCCGCCTCTTCTTGGTTATCTATTTCAAAAATAACTGAGAGCCGGAAATAAAATGTTAAATAGAGAAATAGAAGGGGCAAGAGTTCGTGAAATTCTACGAATATGAATTAATTTCGCGCTAGTTACATTATCGTATGTCGTACTATAGGCAGCTACCTATAGTAATATTTAAACGTTACCGTTGTTGGATTGCTAAAATGACCAAAATTGATGGGTACATGAAATAAAAGCTGAAATTTGTCATGTCATCGTATTATTTTAAGATAGTTGGTCCGTAAATTTATTTTCTAGGAATCTCTTCAAATTTTAATAGCATATTAATCGAAACACGATCTACATAATATGTAAAATTAGAAAAAAATTGACTATAGCTGCGATAATTGAAACCAAAGTTAGTTTCCCAAAAATCGATATGTAAAGTATACTATTTCTGATAATGATTAAACTATATGTCAGCTGATCTGTCAAGATTTGATAATATTGTACACGTACAATATTTTAATTAATATATAAAAATGCGAGAAATATAGAAAAATATGGAGAAATCCGACGTCACGATCGATTTCTCTAATAGCATACATTTGTGTGTCTCTATCGAGAGATATATATGATATATTCACAAATACATGTTTAACACAGGCAATCCCGGCTGAAAGCATTATACGTCAAAGCGTGAAAAACGACTATTTCTTTATAAATCTTTGGACATTATGTAAGTTCGGTTGGTATTTTCTTACTATGCTAAAGCTGTATATATCATTAATCATTTATAATCAGTTTATAATAATTTAGTACAGATTTGACGAGCTTTTTCGTGTTATTTTAATGTATTATCTTTCTAATAGTATTGTCACAGACCAACTACCTTAAGAGAACTCTATATATATAGACAAGATATTATCTTTCTCTTTTTTCTCTCTCCCTTTCTCTGCCTCGGCGACCGAAGAGAGGAGCGACCCAGACTGACGAACAGACCAGACCTTGCCCCGCCTGGTACTTTATTGATCTTAAGAAGGTGAACGACAACTGATACGCCTAAATGCTTCCGCAGGCGTATACCCCGTCCATTTGTCTCATTAATGACGTAATCGAGGTCTAGTCGAGATGTGTCATTACGTGCCAAAACATTAAATATCAGTAGGATACTTTCTTAGGTAACGTTGGACGCATATATATGTATCGTGATTAATCCTTTTATTCTTGATTTAGCTTCTTGTTGCTTGTACACGTCGCGCTTGACCGTCGCAAAAAGCGCAAATAATGATAATTCGCGGCGAAATCGTGCGACCCAGCCGACATAGCGGAGCTTCTGGCGACGCTGGGCGTCTCGCTTATATCCAGGCCAAGATTTTGACACACAGCCACTTTCTCGTGCGATCGAATGATACGTGGGCTCGAAAACGGGCGACAACGTCCGCGTGTTTGCCGTAAATGGCGTCGTTTTCCACGACGGAGGTCGCCGGCGTGCACGCGTCGCTGCGAAGGAGAACGAAGCCGATAAGTCGCTCGACATCCGATTCGGAGGCGGGATCACATCCGTGGGCGCTTCGAGATGGAAGGAGACATTCGCACGTTCTCGATTTTTAAAAGGAAAGAGGCGACTTCGGTGTGGGGATTTCGCGAAGACAAATTTTTACGTAGGACCGCGATCTATTTTTGGAACTCACCTTAGACGATCTACAGGGTGTTACATGACATATTATACAAATTTAAAGAATATGTTTCTGATGTAAATTGAAGTATAGAAAATGTCTTATAAACATGGGTTCATTTCGAAATGGTTATCCGTCTACAAGTGTCTGAATTTTATAAATGACGGTCAAATTTCTTAAATATTTTTTATTCAAAATGAAAAGGAAAAACATAAAGATTAAAAGTTTAATAAAACGAAAGGAAAATTAATACTTAGACTGAATTATTACAGCACAATTAATGATGTGTGAGAATAAATAAGGAGCAGTATCAAAGGAGAATTATAATCTTCTTCGTGCGGCTTCTCAATCCATTTTAGATCGCACCATATTGTGTATTAATGCTGACGTCAATTTGAACAATTTATGTAATCTTTATGTTTTCTGTTTTATTTCTTAATTTTAATAAAAAGAGTTTAAAAAACTATGCTATCATTTATAATCTTTAAATACTTGTAGATGGGTAATCGTTCCGAATTGAACCTATGTTTACAGAATATTTTCTACTTCAGTTTACATCAGAAACATACTCTTTGTACGATGCGTCATATAACACCTTGTATAGCTTGTATCGAAATCCCCTTCGCGAAAATTAAAAATTCTTTTCGCATAAATACTGAAATATTTTCAAGCTACGATATTTTATCGCGCAACTGTGATATACTGCGTCGAGGTCTCATTCATGTCAACATAATTTTTCTCCGCCTACATTACTTTTTATTACAATTTATCACGCGAGCGATACTAATATATCGGTGATAGCTACGCGCTCTGCGACGTCTGTTTCTCATTCGATTGCTAAACGTTACACAATGCGTCACGTCGGTACCATCGATGCCATTTAAAGGCAATAAAGACCCCCCACCTCACTTAATGAAGAAAGGATCGAGAGCCAGAAGTTCGCTGTGAGCACTCGCCTAAAACGAAACGCCGCGTGGGCCGTACAAGGAGATCTCGTTAGTCGCTTTTGTGTACTGCCACATTGGCAAAATGCAACGAGCACGAAGCGATCCAAATCCAGAACGATCCGTCAAAGGAGCCGACTGTCGAAAGTTAAATGCAAAAATGGGATTCGAACTCAATCACATATCTCCGATATGCGCGAAAAAACTAAACAAATTTTCGTGCGCAACATTTTTGTTGATTTATAATGCCTTGTAGGCATATCTGAATGACGAGTACAAATCCGCGAACGTGTTGTAACATATAATTATTGTATATAAGTCATATAATATCTTTATAATTTATTATTATTGCGAATTGTATCTACATGCTAATTACATAGTATATTATCATTATTAAAATAGATTATAAATATTTATTTACTAATTAACATTATATTTTAGTAATAACGTGTGCACGTGTGCGACATTAAAATTTATACCTGCCACTCTCGAGAGGCAGTGCTACAGAATTTGAAATAATACCGCACGTGCAATTACGCCCACGTGCGTGTTCGGGCAATCAAAGTGAACCGAAGTACGCGGGACAATAAAACTGATTAATTTATCGTTAAGTACCCAGGGCGCAGTAACTTTCGTCGATTTCCGTACGGTACTCGAAGGAAAGAGATGGTTCAGTATGTTTTATCGTTATAGTCCTCGAGATTAAGGACCTGGTCTTTCTCTCCTCGCAAGGCGCACTCGTGGGTTTCGGCGTTTCTCGGGTGTCCTCCCTCGTATCGTTTCGCGAAAGACGAAAAAGGAGGAAGTGCAGGAGCTCACGAGGGTGGAAGAGAGATGGAGAGTCGCTTGATCGAAGCGAGAAACCACTTGCCCATATTTGGCTACACCCGCCGCATTCTACATTCCGTGTCTTTTTTGTTGCTTCTTCGATCGCCCGCACACCTATACGCTCCTCCGCTGCATCGGTGAGCGTGACTGCAACCTACATAGTGCCTCCCCCCGTGAATTCTTTTATCGCATCGATGACGTAACTTTGCCGTTTCTCCAAGTTTTCAAGAATACTGCATGTCGCGCGGTAGGGAGAGCGAGAAAGATTGCGGTCCTTTAGATAAAGACAAACTTATTCACTCGAGTGATTATTTAGTCGGGGGAAAGATAAATATGTAAATTAAAGATATACGCTTTTAACATGTGCTTCCTCTTAATTAATGTTGTCAATTTCGACTACTCGAGTACCCGAATTTTTCAATCACTTCCTGTGTCCGATTATTTTCGAACAAATTATTGATTTTTCTAACGATAACGGATAATATTAAAGTTAGAAATTCTTGTATACTCAGTTACTGAAAGAATCGGGTATCCGAGTGGTCAAAATTGACAACATTACACCACAAATAACATATATTTCTAGCGAATAGCAATTAATAAAGGAGGCCGGGACTGGTTGGCTAAAGGAATAAATTAATCAGATTACAGAATCGAGCAAACAAATATTCAACTGAAAAACTCATATCCAACTCTAAATTCATATCTGAATATCTCACGTGAGGTAAGTTTCATGTAACGACCTTTAATATGAACCTTAATGTACTATAATAGATGCTTGACGCGATAGTGGTTCAATTTATAAAGAATAATGGGTAGAATCTCGCAACAAATTGTTTCCTATACAAATATTCATGAGAGAAACATGACGGCCCATAGACTTCGTTCACCTCGATCGACTTGGTCACATTAGCAACGTGAAAAATTATCGGAACTCCGCCTCGCGTTCCGCTTCCAACCAGCCTTCACGGAATCGTGATCGATTGTTAACGAGCGATTTTATCATAGTATATTTCACAAGAAGCAAAATCAGACAGTTGGACTCACGGTGAAATTCTATGGATACGGGAATGCTCGAAGATATTCACGCAGGATCTCCGTGTGAACTTGCACGCGAATGACGTTCACATGGGCACAGTGCCTGAAGAATTGAAACGCACGCTACCTATGCCTTAGGGAACATGACTTCGTAATATCTCAGCGGGAAATGTGAATGCCGATATATATATATATATATATATATATATATATATATATATATATATATATATAAGAAATGCGAAGTCGCTCGGCTCTCGGCTACATAAGTGGAAGCGGCCGCACTCGTGACGATATAGTTGCATATCCTGCGTCTAACCGACTCCTTTTATTCACAAAGCTCTCGAGGGCTTATATGTGTCGAGATACATATAAACATTCGATCGCGTAGAAAAGTTTCTCCTAACAAAGTTTTGTCGAAGAGTTCAACCCGAGAACAAGCTGAATTTGCGATTCGCAGAGTCCATTTCGGATATGTCTCTCTTCGCGCTTGAGATCGGTCTTACGTCACACTGCGAACTTGTTTCATTTTATTTCAGATATTAAAGCGAAACTTTATTGTCTAATCTCAGTGAGCCAGTCATTTTGGTCTCTCATTTGGGCTTTTTAACTCTAGAATACTAATCTTTACACTTGGACTTATGCTCCTAACTCTATGTCTTGGAGACGCGTAGTAGCTAAAAAAGGAGAAACTTAAAGATTGTTTGATGTAACACATACAGTGTTCGGTAATTCACGCAACACCGCTTGTGTGTAGATAGAATGGATTAAATTGAGCAGAAAAGGCCATTTTCAATTATCAATAACTCGAAATTTTGCGTGATTGTTTGCAAAATAGTAGAAGACTTTTCTGCTCAGTTTAACACATTCTACTTGCTCACAAGCGGTGTACCATGAATTACCGGACATCCTGTACATTTTCAAAATATAAAACGAAATAATATCTTGGAGTGTAAAACAAACAGGAAAGAAGGAGATTCGTCAAAAATCATCTCTGTCTCGGACACACACGTTAATATTATAGTATTTTAGGGTTATTCAATTTCTATTATGATAGTAAACGATACGCTTCGGGTGTGCTTAATTTCTCCACTTTCGTAATGAGCAGGAAAAGCCTGGAGAAACTAAGTCTCGGATTATCTCTCGATCGGGGAGCATTAAAAGCTCATGGTCCGCGCCCTCAATATCTTTGGAAAAAGATTGCGTGTTATCTCGCTTTCAAGACTCACAAGCGGAGGATCACCTGCGGGGGGTCATTCGAGGTCGCAGGTGGCCGCATTTCGATCATTACCGGTCAATCCGTGTTCAATATACGGCTTGTCGGGCAGGTCGAGCGGCGAAAAAGCGCCTGGCCCTCTTCGGATATAAAGGCGCTTGTATAATAAGTGGCACAAGACCGCTTTCTATCTATGTACGAAGGATTTCTCAGTACATATCTCGAGCCCGGCACGTCGGTCTCGACAAGAGACCTGTGAGCTGACTGCAATAATATCTGATTCCGCGTCTGCTGCGAGTTTTTTTTTCCTCCTAAGAACGAACATGTTATTGTATCGGAGGGTATTGACTCGTTAACCATCCTCTAGACGTACAGCATCTCGATTGCTCATGCTAGCATTACGCATTATCGCATTTGTTGGAATGAAAAGGATATTACGTGGTCGCAGGGTCTTTAATGAATCGATATTTATTATATTAAAGAAGAAGTACTAAAACTAACATAGATATGGTAAACTAACATACCTATGTTTGTATTCAGCTATAAAGTACTAAACTCTGTCAGATAGAACATGACATTCGTCTACTGTGTAATTGAAGCTGAAGTAGCAGTTCTGTTTGCAAACACGTTCAATTGTGTTATTAGCGTCGTTTGATTCTTCGTTCAAGCACGTTCAATTGTGTTATTAGCGTCGCTTGATTCTTCGTTGTACTAAAACTAAATTTGTTGAGCTATCTTTTTGTGAAGATTAAAGTAACAAAGCGGTAAGTAATTCATTTGACAATGCTATTCTATAGTATGAGTTTTGGTTTTTTAAAATCAAAAGATTTTAGATATTGTACTAATCTCTATCTTTTATCACTGAACCACGCAAGAACAGCTTAGGTTGTTCTGTAAGCCGACATACCTGAATTTACTGATTTTTCAACTGACATCTGAGCTTTCCTGTGAATTATCACTTTACAGAATAGAGAGGGGATTTTATTTGGGACGCATATTTAATGATTACATGTTGCAATAAGCATGTAGATAAGATTACATGTATTATAGATTACATGTATTATAGATAGTCACGTGGAATTAATGAGACCGAATGACGGTAGATTTAGCCACATACGTAGCGAAAAATGAGAGTCCCAATGCATGTTACTTCGCGTTAAAAGCGCGTATAATCGTTGCAAGAAAATTTCGATACATTCCCTCGTCGCTGATGTCATCGATATGTCAAGTTGAAAGGAGTATCGCGTCTCTTTAATATGCAGTTTGATGTCGATGTGTGTATGTTTACGTGTGTATAATAATTTTAAATAGTAGACCGGTTTATGCTTCAAGAGCAAATAGTACAAGATTAAATGCCACGCATATCGTATACGTGTATACGCTTTTAGTGTATACGTATGCGTGTATATAGCTAATTATAACTTCCTCAAACTACAATTGTGCAGAGAGTAATAACCTTGCCTGCGAGGTTACGCAATAACTGGGTCATTCGTGTAATACTGCGCGAATAATTGGGTAGCCATGTATCGTGAGTACTTCATATATGACTTGAGCATGCAGTTACCTTCAGTATCGTCCAGATACGCGGATAATATCCATAAATTCGGGCAACGAATGGATATTCAGACACTGAGACTATTTGGGCCGTAATGACAGCCCTTAAATTCATATCATTCTCACTCCTGGCCAGATATGATGATATAGGTCTATTTCGAGCACGGGATAGCGCTGCAATTGAAGACCACTTGAAAATACTAATTTGGATAATGAGCCTTAAGGAAGAGGAAAAGAAGAGAACGTGTCGATGTGACATTACTCGTGCAAATTTACTTTGTGATATATATTTATAAAGATAACGCGTTGAATTCTTAAGATATTTCAGAAGTTTTTTTCTTTGCTGAATTCTAATTCTTTAGGAATTCACAGTAGAATATTATAAAAATGATTCATGAACACAGACCACATACCACATACGATTGGAATTCCTGAATATTTTTTGGAGTATATTCAGAGGCTTTTCTCTGTAATAGTTATCTCATTTGATAAACTGAGAAGAGTTAAGACATTATGATTTATTCATTTTGAAATATTAGGTGCTCGCAAAAGTTCATAAGGCCACAAATAGATAAGTAACAGTGACTTAATAATTGTTTTCCTTTAAATTACTTCTTAGTTTCTTAATGTTTGATCCCATATTTGATGGCCATATTTAGTCAGAATTGATAGTTCAAAATTCATAGTTCCGAACAAAACGTCACATTTAACGCGATTGATGATAGAACCGGATAAAATTCATTATATATATATATATATATAATGAATTTTATCCGGTTCTATATATATATATATATACACACATATTTGTGTGTGAAAACCATTTGTAAAAACCATGTTATACTTAAAAAATATATTAATAATAAACTTAATAAAGCTGAGGCTAAATGATTAATATAAATTTTACTACAAAGAAACAAAGAAAAATCAATATAATGTAAATCACCTTGTTACGTGTATCTAATTTCCATAATATTCGAGATATTTATCACACCGTTTGAATGTATTAAATCTTCGATTTTTCTAGGAGAAAATTCAACACCAATTTGTTGAATTCGTCGGGATATCTCAAGTGAAGGTTATGCGAGCCCTTTTCGAAGATGTACATTCTGTAACACAATACGAGAAAAACTAGTAAAATGTCCTGTGGATTATCGCGACTGCATTAAGTCCGTGAACGAAATACGAACTTTGAGTTAGCAATGTTTTGCTTCAGGTACTTCGGATGTTCCGGCAGAACCAACACATCTTTGGCCCCTTGAACAATCAACGTTGGGCATTTTATCTTCGATAAAACCTGTTTGCACAAGTCACCGTTCTGTTTCTTGTATAACCTCTGCATGGTGTCCACCCAATCAGACCAAATCTTTTTGAAGTAATCCTTACCGTACACTTGTATCATAGGTGTGCTCATCTTCTTCGACCACGAATTGATATCTCTGATATCTGTACAACAATATTTTATGAAGGATTGCGTAAGACCGAAGAGATTACGCTAAATGCGTTATCTACGAGATAAATAATAGCGAAATCTCCTTTTTACTTTTTTTATAAAAGAAACTTAGCTATTTTATCGGTATAAATAAATTTTTATAATATTAATCGTTCTTACGAGCCTAAACTGTTTTAATATCGTAGCTTCACACAAAAAAAAATTGCTAGATTCAAGTAAATAATTACTTCAATATTCCTTAGTAAATTTTGACTTGGATTAAATAAATTTTACTTGAATCAAGTAAATATTTTATTTGAATAATTTACTTGGAAAATATTTTACTTGGATCAAATAAATATTATTTGATCTAAATAAAAATTTGCTGAGGAATATTGGAGTAATTATTTACTTGAATCTAGCACTTATTTTCTGTATATTAAATATATTTATAAATTTCAGAGTAATTTTTAGACTAGACTGTTGACGACTCAAATAGCATGTGTCGTTTTCATTTTATAAACGGTGATGAAACATTACATACATCTATAAAATGTATATGTAACCAATATATGTTACCAGGAATATTATAGATACGAAATCTATTTTTGGTGATATTATTATATGATTGAACAGTACTTTGGTTTCGAATATCGTGAGCAAGATCGGATTTCGTACTTTCATATAATTTCACTTCATCCGGCTGTATGTACGCATTTGCACCTATAACAACCATCTTGTAGATGCTCTCGGGATACATCGAAGCAAGCAGCAACGACGTAATGCCACCGTCGCTCCAACCGATCAGAGAAAATCTCTCGTAGCCTAAAGTCTTCATCAAGTTGTGGGCGCAAATGGCGTCGCGCTGGAACATATCGTCCGAGAACGTTCTGTCAGGTGGTCGCGATTTTCCATAGCCGGGTGGATCCCACGCCACTATGACCAACTTATCCACGTCAAGATTTTCAATCTGCGGCTTAAAATCAGTCCAGATCGTTCCTAAAATATATAGTTCAATAAATAATCGACTTCCACCATGTGGGATATTTGTGTCATAATGCAATCGTTCTATTTTCAGCAACAAAATAACGGTTGAAGTAATTTCTTCTGATGATCATTTAGAATACAGGAATGATTGATTATAATTTTTTTGTCAAGTTTTTACCAAGAATTCATATGAATACTAATAATCCAAAGATAAAATATGAACAATATTAAACGAAAAAATTAAAGAATAATTAAGCATGAGCAGACATTACTCAGAAATCTTCGCTAGAAATATAGCTCTTGCAATACATATTTCACTTGAATTGCTTTGAAATCTTTATTGCTAAGATTCTTACTTTTTAATAATATAATTTAACACCGGATAAAAAAATTTTTATTTCTCGTTAATAAATAGAGACAAATGTATACAAATCGCTATTCAATTCTGTTGCTAAAGAATAAATTATCTTCATCTGTCGTTAAGTCACATTATTTAAAAATAAGAATTCGATTATTGTACTAATGTGTTATTACAAGGATAAAAACGCCTTTTGACTTGCTCTTCGGTCGCAAAGTTGGAGGATAAAAAGGCCTACTGCTGACATAACGCGCAAAAATTAAGAGATCAATTCTTTCGGGCATGAGCAGTAGGTAAAATTCAACGAGCTATAACTTGGATAAAAATAATGGTAACGAGCTGGCTCGAGAAGTATTTTAAAGCTAGAAATCTATAGTTTTACATATATTATTGTGGAATATAAATTTTATTTATTTTTTAAGACGTCACTTCAATATAAATCGAGATTGGTCAGATATAAAAAGATTTTATGAAGTTTATTGAATTGCATCGCGTAAACAAAATATCGCATATAAGTAAGCTTTACATCATTTGAAAGCCCAAATTTTCTTCTTTAATTTGGTATGATATTTTTCAATGTAGATTATTATATTCAAACGCATAATAATCGGCAAATATATTACCGAAAACGGTTATAAGTTATGCCTGTTTCTATCACCATGATTTAAATCTAATCGACAATGAATTCAATGGAATTGATTAGTCGCATTGATCAGTTCATCTAATTGGTCAATTTCGTTAAGTCAATGCGATTGGTCAATTTAGTTAAGTTAATCGTCAGTTGGATTTAAACAATGATAGTAGAAATGGGCATTAATCAATCGCGAAGCGCTTTAATATGAAAAAGGAGTAAAACTGCATTAAGAAATTTTTCATTCCTACTCGAGCGTTTCGTTCAATTTATTGTTTTGATTTTCGAGATATTAATTATTAAGAATTTAGTTAACCCTTAAATAGACACTTAAGAGTCAAACTAATTCACAGACGCATGAACAAACGAATGTTTCTGTTTCGTTAATGCTGCGACATTGGCGCTTTCAGTAATTTGCCTTCGCCACATACTCTTGAATTTAGCGAAGCAGTATCTATAACACTCGAGAATCTCAGTTATAAATAGCAGTTGTTTTATTCTTTCCTCAAGAAGTCACGTGTCCAACTTACTAGTTAAATATCTTTACTGACGCCGTCTAGCGGTATTGAGAAAGAGCTCGTTCGCTAGATGGGTTTGTGTCTCGACTAAATATGGTTAAGATGGATCTGAAGCCAGCGACATACGACGCTTGTTTTCGTGCTGGATTATTTGCTGGATGGAAATACTGTTTTGATTGGTATATTGTTATCCTTTTTTGAAAATGCACCAATCAGAACGCAGTACTTCTATTCAGTACGAAACAAGCATCGTGTGCCGCTAGCTTTATATATATATAAAACTGTCGCGACAAGTGTTACATCTACTTGTGACCGACTTGCAACTAATATAGAACGATTTTTGAACTGGTTCTATATTAATTACTTCATCGCACAATCGTCTAATCACAGTCGATTATTTTTATTCGAAGAAATCGACTAATCACAGTCGATTATTTTCGATCACAAGAGAGATAATTGGCTGTGATTGGTCAATTTCTTGCAATCTTGCGATTGCACGGTTAATATAGAATCAGTCTTAAAGACCATTTCATTTTCACATATCATGATAAAAAACTTAATATTTTTCACTGTTTATTAATCTGATTCTTTTTCCAACATCGCTTATTTCTAATAGTAATAACGATATTTTAACCTTTTATCAGACACGTGGATCATAATTATCATATCGTGTTCAATAGTTACCCAGTAGATGGCGGCATGTGAAAAACAATTATACTATTATTTTCAGAAATACGGAATTTCTTACGCAAACAATGTGTAACATATTAACAACAATTGCATTATTAACAATTACTTACCCAATGCGCCGGGCAATAATAACACCGGATGATCGCCCGTGCCGACTCTGGCATAATTTATATCCATGCCGTTAACATTGACCTTTCGTTCCTACTAGACAATATGTCGAGTGATGCAGTTTTGCATTCGTAGTTACGTTGTATTTCTTTACGTACCTCTATCTGACGGACTTTGCTGGCCATCGATGATAATCGCTGATCCCACGAAAACGCGTTTCTTGATGTCACGAATTTGCTTAACATTTTCGTAGAATGTCTTAACGTTCTGCACACGTTTGACATCATATGGTTTGTTCGCTTTCGCTACACCAGAACTGCACTAAAACTGCACTGAACTGAACTGAATTGCACTGGGTCAAACTATTGGGTTGGCAAATAAATTCGTTCGGTTTTTCAATCGGAGTAGGTTTACTCGTTCTGCTATCTCTTTTCCACAGCGCTATCGCACAACGCGCTTGCGCAGCTGAAAAGCGACGTTCCACCTAACCTATTTGTAAACATACGCCGGTTAATACCAGAGTATTGTGCGTATTGCACGGTTGCAAATATGGAAGAAAAGAACGTCCATTTTCGCCATATTTTACTTTTTTATCTCAAAAAAGGCAAACGAGCTGCGGAAGCTCATAAGAAGTTTGTAATGTGTATGGGGACGATGCTTTAACAGAACGTGTGTGTCAAAA